CTGTATCATTTGAACGTGTTACATCCTGTTACTAATGCCTTTATTCAGGATTTAAACAAAAACATCGGCAGTGAAACGGCATTTCTTGACACGGTCGGCCTCATTTCACCAGAAAAATCTGATATCAGTCCACACACTTCACACCACCTGCCTCGTTTAGAAGACAACAGCAATAAGCATTCTTGAGCCTCCTCCCTTTCCTCCAATCATCCCAACAACTAACCCAGCTTTATCCGTGTTTACTGATATTGCATCAGTATGTTGACACAGGCCCTGTATCTTCTCCCAACTCCTTCATCTCCTCCCAGATAATAGTGCCATCCACAGAAAGGATGTCAAGTCTCAAGATGCTGCCCACCCCTCTGCACTCCCCCTGAGTGGATGATGCTCCAGGAGGGTAGCAGAGGGAGAATGGTGTGTGTGTGTGTGTGTGTGCGTGTGTGTGTGGGAGGGGGGGGGGGGGTTCTGCACAGGTGCTGCAGCTGCATTGGTTGGTAATTCCTTTCTGTGCAAGGGCTGCTCGGCGTTAGCCTCCACCAGCAGCTCCCCCCAGTGGGACCCCTCCTCCACTGAGTGATATTACAAGCGGCAGCCGCGCGCCTCTGATCTACATGCACTGGGCTCCCGCCTGGTCCTGGGTGAATAGTGCTTGACTTGTTCAATTTGTTTAGAAGCCGCGTTCGACGCTTTGAAGCCACACATTTTAGCATAAATCATAACCTGTCTCCTTGCTCACAACTGCTTTGAAATGCAACATCTGCTTTTGAATCTCCGGCTTTACAATTAGTTAAGCAACATCAATAGAATGACTCCCCTTAATTTTGTTTTTTTTTGTTTTTTTGGGATAATGAACTGCTTTGTATAAATGCAATACACCGGCGGTGGGCCCATTTGATTTTTTTTCATGGCCAAGGTCCTGAGACAGATCGCCCTTCAGCAGGCCCACAGTGTCGGGACGCTCCAAACTTCCTGGAGTTCTCCGCATGCTCGGAGCCAAATCCGACGAGCGTCTTGAACTGGGTTAGCCTGGATGGTAGCCTACTTAGGAAGTGTCGTGGTTGTGGGGCATGTTACCGGGCCGTGTTGTTTACTCTTTCATCACAGTCTGCATGATCCCTGTTTGTTGGTTTGTTTTGCAAAGCGCAGCCTTCTGTTCAGCTGTGGGAAAAGTGCGGAATCAAAGTCCCGCCGAGCGGGCTGACGTTGACATTGATAAGCTTCGCTTGTCACTATCCATTTGTCTGAATGACACTGATGCTCAGGTTGGATCTCTGGAGGAAGTCGTACATACGCAGAAAGCAGGTGCACATGCCGCCGCCTCGGCTGTGCTGCGCAGAGCAGAGTCTGCTCCTTCCAAGTTTGCCTAATAAGTTGGAGCACTTCAAACCTAAAGTTTAATGCACAGAATAGAAGAAAAATAAACAGAATATTGGCAGGAGCTGTAGTTGCTCTGCATACTGTGCCAAAGTTAAAACTCCCCAAAACTGATCCATCTGTTGGAGGCCTCTCATCAGCTGCATTAAGAATTCTTTTTGCAGGTTGAAGGGGAAAATAACAATCCCAAAGATTTTATTTTCAAAGGCAAGCATTTGATCAGTAGTCATCAATTAAACTTACTGAGGTGCAAATTACACCACAAGGATCAGATGAAAGAGCCTGCGTGTCATTTCCTCCCCTCCTCAAAGCTTGGCTGGATTCGCAGCACACACAAACAGCGGGCTGATCCCTGGCATGGCGGTGACAGGGTGACACTTCCCCTCACATTACGCGGGCTGAGCTGACGGAGGGGCTTAACAGATAGTGGCATCACAGGCGCACGTTTACAAATAAATCTACTGCTCTGGCTGCGCGGCACTCCTCTGCACGTGTAGCCCTTGTAGCTCTGCTCCTGCTTTGCATTTCTGATTTAAGCTGGAGCCCTGCCCCAATATCTGGTTACCATACCGACAGGAGTCCCTCTTCCCAGATGGCACGTTGGGACTTTTCTGAGTAATTACAATGTTTGGTATGTCTAGAGCTTCTGCACAACTAAATAAAGCGGTTCTATACGGCAATTCCAGTCATCACATATTCTCACCTAAATGGGACTTTTGCACAGAAAATGAACGAGAACCCAGATAGTGGGTAATTCTAATTGTTTTATTTCTATTACCTTCAGTGATCAGAACTGTGTATGTGACATGTCCTCACATTTCCCTCTTCCTCCGAACAAAGCAAGACGATCAATTGGCAGTTCCCACATGCTACAATTCCCACGTTAACTTGATGGCTGTAAATAATATTGTCAAGTGCTCCATCTAATTATTTACCTGTGTTTGCCTTTGTTGAACCGTGTTCGTATAGCTTCATGGGTGATGATCCCATTGTCTCTTTTTTCTTTTGTCTCTGCTTTTTCATAATTCATTTTCTGTGGCATTGTGCAGACAGGCAAATGTGGGGAATTCATCGTTTTAGGGAATTTACTCAGCAAACCCTATGAATAAACAATTCATTTTTTCCTAGTAAATTAGTTATCATTAATTTTAAATGACGTGTTGGGGAAATGAATTATCATAAACTTATCATGCTCAAAAATGGATGCCAGAGTTGATATTTTAAACACTAACTGACAGAGGATGTCAGACAAGTGCCAAATGCACAAACAGCTCAATCACTTTAGGATTTTATTCTACTGGTAATTTTTGTAGAAACATAGAAGAACAAATATATACAAATAAACACAGTATATACAAATATATACAGTTAACTGTGACAAATCTGTATATTTCATGTTCATTGTGATGAAAAATGGTATAATTGCACTTACAGAGAATCTCTGGATGGGGATACAGTATCTTTGAAGTACTCCAGAGGCATCATGTTAAAGGTTGAAATGTCATAGATCTGGGAAAACATACGGCCATTTTGGAAACAATACTAATTAATAATTGAAAATACACATTTTATAAGCCTCTGAAAGTGTTTAGACATCAGCTGTTGCAATTATGGTGGTGAAAATATCTCCATTTTAACTTTCTACTCATAGTTTTTCTGTATCATACAAAAAGGAGACTTGGTCATGTGTAAAATGTATCAAAATAATGTCCTTTATTTATATAAATATATTTATATATATTTTTAATCCCAGTTGATTAGACATAATTCAAATTGACTCAACTTTAATATGACTTCTCTTCAGTGTTCCAAGAACATTTCTGTGGAATGTGTGGATGATTTTGGGCCCTCTATTGCAGTTTGACCCGTGTTTTGTCTTAATTTAATTTTTTTCTTGTCATGTATCTTAAGTAGTGTCTTTTTTTGGACATCCACATTGGCCGACGTCTTCAAAGAATGTCATGTCCTGTAGAGATGATGAAATCCTTATGAAGAACCATGAAAGTGACATTTGGCAGACGGACTGGTTTCATCTTTATTACAGCAAAGTTCCTGCATTGCTTTCCTTTGATAAAACATGAAACACCTTATCTGCCCAGGCTTTTAAGCCGTGTTTGACTTTGAGGGCTGAAATATAAGTGAGATTTTCATGAATCCTGTAAGTTACTGTGCCCATAAGGACCCATGGTGACACTGGTGTAACAAACAATAGAAACTAAAATAAATTATGTGGAACCATGAGAACACCAGGAACACCACAGACCAGTAGCACTTGGTGGTACTCAAAAGGATTTTTCAAATGTGGGTTGTTCATTTGATCCATTTTATATTGTCTATAAAAATCCTTTAATGGGAATAGGTCCAGAAGTTCATGGATTTTTAAAAGAATATCATTTTATATTTTGACTTTCCCTTTCTTACTTAAAGCGAGTTATGTCACACGATACCCAGCAATCAGGATTTTAATATATTACATTTGAAGCGTAAAGGGTCATCTTGGTGCAGTTTATATAACACTTTTCTCAAAAGGTGAGTAAGGCAGTGATTTCTGCAACCCATTTCTGTTACTGTACTTCACAAACCCCCTCCGTCTCCCCTAGATCTTTCTCCGCACACTCCCCTTTCGTCTTTCGTCTCTGGGAGTATGGGTGCATGTCAAGTGATTGTTGAATTGAAATATTGATGTGGAGTATCAAAGCGTGGCGTAGCACTCCTGTGTTTCCAGAACTAACCACGAAGCGCTTTGATCAGATACTCCTGTGATCTGACTTCTGAAGTTGTTAAGAGTGCTGGAAAACAAAATGCAAACAAACTTCAAGTGCTCTTGGTATTGATAAAAGTTTTCTCTGACAAGTGGAGATGAGTGCCGTCTGCCCAAGACAGGAGATTTTGGGGTTTTCATACATGCAAATGGACATGAGATGAGGGAATTATAGTTTTCGGCTTCTCGCACTCCTCACAATGTAAACTGTTCCTGAGGGGTGGGCATCACCACAGAAACGAGTAACACTGTAACAGATTTAACAAAATTGTCAAATATTGTAATTCTTCTAATCGCACCAATGTGATTATAAAAATGCATTTGAGTCTGCAGTTTATTTTCATTGTCTATTCATTCTTATGAGCTCTGAAAACTATAATGATTACAGGAAAACATATGGTAATCTCTCATTTTTGGGGGATTAAATTCTGGGAGCATAAATTTAATTTAATTTAATTGATTTAAAAAAAATTTAGTGAGGAATACAAACAATCAAAATATTATAATAGAAATATATTGGAAATGTCTCAATGGTAAGATGACAGAAGAATTTTCATAAAGAATAGCTGTTAACCTACCAGAGCTGAAAAAACAACGATGATATTATCTTTAAAGGTTTGGGGGATTAATCATTTCAATTAAATGTTTGCTAATGCTCTTGTTGGCTGCTGAATGTGAGACAACCCCTTTATGAATATGAAGAGTGAACATCGTATTAATTCAAAGCAAGTTAATCTTATTTGTGAATTATATTACCAACTATTGCTGTAGACTAAATGCCTGTTAATTAAAAAAAGAAAAGAAAACAGCAAAGCGGCCATATCCATTCCTAACAAGGTAACACACACCCTGTTCGAGGCACAAGTTGTTGCCCCGTAAAGGCCAGCTGTTGGTGTTGTTTCTACACCCCAAAGAAACCAAGTGTCAAGGTAATTAGGCCCCATCTTGTCCAATCTCTGCTTAGTGAATGGTTAGAGTGCAGCCTTGTAGTTAGCAGAAGGCTTTTACATGTTGTCTGTCTGTCTCCTCCATTAGGCCACATTTGTCACATGAGGGCTATTGAGTCAGCACGGTGCTGTAAAAGCGGCTTTTGGACGTGGCCACCAGCACAAAGGCTGCTCTCCTCTGTGGAGGCTCTTTTCGAGTGCAGATGGCCAAGACAGCTGGGACAATTTAGTGATCTGAGGCTTTTTAAACTACCCCCCCAGGCATGATAAAAAAATAAAAAACCAGCTTGAGTACCCACTTGAATATTCAACGCTCAAAGTTTAAGGCTGTGAATTGTGCCTGCAACACGAGCAGGGGATGAGAACTCCTCCATCAGTGGAGGGAATTTCAGAGAAACACCAAATCCCCGCTGAGTTTTAAAGCCTCTTGTTTCATTTTTCTTGGATGCACGTGCTGTCGAGAAATAGGTGCGGGATAACATCTGCATCATCTTGTTGGGATTTGAGTGTGTGTCAGTTTCGGAGGCTGCTGGTAGCCGGCCAGTCAGAATGGAGCAGAGCGGCGTGCGGCGCGTGACGGCGCGGGCCTGATTACCCACATTCTCACCAGCTGTTTAATGAACACAGGGACCTCTTTCTCTGGAAATGAGTTTTCCCTTGAATGCTGTGGAAGCCTTATCCAGGTCTATTTAAATGAGGTAACATGGGGAAGGTAAGCACCACCACATGAGCATTGTTTTCACAGTTCAAAGTGAGGAGAGAGTACTTTGCACTTCAAAGACGCTCATCTGGGAGGCAGTACAGTGGGGGTGGGGCGGGAGGGGGTGGCGTGGCGTGGGGGGAGAAGGGACAGGAAATAAGAATCAGGGTAATTAACAACTTCTGCTCCGTAATAAACCGCAGACACATTACACCTCTTCCTCCGAGATGCACTTCTGTTTTCATGTCCTTTTCAACCATTCCCTTTTACTGCCGTTTTCCCTCATCCAAAGGCTTCACCTGACTTTAGAATTAGTCTGAGACCCCGCAATGTCGCTGTGGCTACATCAAATTAGTTCCAAAGTGTGTAGAATTTATGGTAACAATCAAATGAAACAGGAGGTTTCAGCCTTACTGCGATCATTCTGTTAACAATAACTGTGTCTGAATTTGTATTGCAAGAAATAGAGAAGGGGAAAGGTTTTATGATCTATTAATTTGACCATGTTTTTAAATGTGCTCAACCATGCTGCATGTATTTTTTTTATAGAAGGAGAAATAATTAAGAAAGACAGAAAAAGGTTTTAGTGTTTAGGCTGAATAATCACTTTGAATCTGAAAAAATCCTCACCATGAAACATAAAAAACATGAGATACATTCTGACCGTTCACCTTCACATTAATAAATCCTCAAGTTATCCATTTAGGTGATTATCTTTACCCACAAACAAAAGAAAGACAAAGTCAAATACGGCTTTGACAGATTAAATCAACAGAATAAAAGAAATGTTACATTCTGAAAATTCCTTTATCTTTAAGTATTAGTTTCTTTTGTGAATTTGAGATTGCTTCTCCTCGGGGCATGTTTATTTGAGGATCACAGCCTGGAAAACGGTGAGGAGTAGATAAGTGAGGAACCAGGAATTAACATGAGAAACAGGCTCCTGGCCTGGATTTAAACTCTTAACATTGTAATGGTGAACAGACTTACAGAATGAGATTAAGCCTCAATCTGCATTTAATGGAGCAGATCTGAGGCGGCCTCTACTTGAACCCTGAAATGTGAGAATGTCACACAGGGCAGCCTATTTGATATGTCACCTACCGGTGAGAACTCCGGAGTCTTTGATTGAGTTTTATCAATTAGCTTTGTGAGGAGAAAATACTGGGACTTTCCTCACAGGGTGTGATGATGGCGCCTGCCAAAATGAGCCGACACGAGGATCCAGCAGAGACTTTTACCTTTACACTTTCCCCTTTATTTTATTCATGCATTCACTTCTGTACAATAAAGATCAAGTGAAAGAGTGATGCAAAAACAACTAAATGAATGCTGTAGTGACTTAATACATTGTTTGTGGGAAGTGATGGCAGATCTCTTTGCCCATCTTTTTATTTCAACTCTACATGCTGATGTTTGCCTAAAATAAAAATAAGCTTATTTTCTATCTTTAAATTCCCTCAATGATGTGGAAGCAGAATGCATTCCCAAGTTGAGAAACTTTATTTTTTTTTCATTTTGCTGGCTTTATAAATCTTAGATCTTTTCACAGACTAAGCATTTAGTTCTTTAACCGACTGCGGTGGAAAAGTGCTGAAAAACATAATGTTAACTCCTTAGAATGTTTCTTTCCTCCCTTCTGATTGTTGCTGCGTGTCTGTATTTCAAATCAAAAGAACACGAGGCACGAGGGCCAGAGAAGGTTAAGAGGATACAGTGTAACTCTCTGTAAAGAAGATATTCAATTAGAATTCTCCTCAGGCCTCGAGCCTTTTTTCAGAACAATCGGAGGAGGAGTCAGTTCTCGGGGTCAGCATTTGGTTGAAATTGAGTGAAATTATGAGTAGCCCACCCCTTCACCTAACAAGCCCCCCTCCTTCCTTCCTCCCTCTCATCTCCTCTCTATTGACGGGCTCGCCTGCATCATACTGGAGACCCCGTTGAGAGGATCTTTACTCTCTATAAAGAGAAGATGCAGCTCAGGCGCCTTTGAGAGGATCGCTCGGATTTGCTGCGCGCCCCTTCTGCCGCAAACTTCGTTTCTGCGCCAACTGAGCCCAAGCGCAACTCTTTACCTGCTGGAATGAAGGACTTCTGAAGAAGTGGGATTTTTTTTGTTTTTTGCCTTGCACATTGCTCGACTGTCGGAGCTCCCAGAGAGCCGCATGTGAGCATCTTCTCTCCCCGGTGCGCCTCCAGCTGCAGCGCAGGTCGCGTGCGTCGTCGCCCCTCGGCGCAGTTTGTGTTGCAGGTGCGCGGAGAAGGAGCGCGAGGACAGATGGCTGCGCTGACGATACAAAGGACTGACAACTTTTTGCACACTTTTTTACAGGTTTGTGCTCTTATCTGACGGAAAGCGGTCGGTTTTATGAGGCGAACTCTGCACAATTTGTGATGGAGCACTGGTCTATTTAAAAAAAAAAAAAAAAAAACATTAACAAGTTAGGGATAAACGCATTATTTTAAAAATAAAAACACAGGATTAAAAAGGAAAATAGAGTATCTATAAAATGCTTTTAAGTGTAATTCACGTCCAACTTCTGAATCCTCACAGATACTTTCCTTGAAAAGAAAAAGTTATAAAAAAGTATTTTAAGCTGATGTCCTGGGGCAGATGTGGCCTGATGTGGCCTGATGTGTGTTTTTTGTTTCGCCACACAGGACCGGACGCCCAGCTCCTCTCCAGAGGGAGCGTCTAACGCGCTGTCCTTCCTGGCCACCACCTGCAGCCAGGCCTGGCAGGTGGGAGGCGGCATGGGCTCCGAGGGCTCCCAGTTCCCCTACGAGGGCACGGTCAGCTCCACGTCCGGGATGTTCCAGCTCTGGAGTAACGAAATGGCCCCCAGCACGGCCCTCAGCACGCACCAGATGACCTTCACCGTGCCCAAGATGCAGTTCCCCGGACACATGCAGTCCGGCCTGGGCCACCACCACCACCCTCACCACCACCACCACCACCACGAGCTGCCTCTGACCCCTCCGGCCGAGCCCGCGCCCTCCTACTCCTTTGAACTGTCCCCGGTCAAGGTGCTGTCCTCGCAGCCCCAGACCGGCAGTCCCTACTACCCCCAGCATAACGGCGTGGGCCAGAACTTCCCGGGCTTCCTGCAGAACTCCTCTGCCCGGCACCACCTGTCCGGAGGCCACGTGGACGAAGGCCAGCAGTGGTGGAGCCTACCCCAGACCAACGCCGCCCCGGCCAGCCACCCCTTCTCCCTGGGCCGGCAGCTGGTGCTGGGCCACCAGCCCCAGATCGCCGCTCTCCTGCAGGGCACCTCCAAAGGTCTGCTGAGCTCCACGCGCCGCTGCCGGCGCTGCAAATGCCCCAACTGCCAGGCCAGCGGCGGCGGGCTGGAGTTCGGCAAGAAGAGGCTCCACGTCTGCCACATCCCCGAGTGCGGCAAAGTGTACAAGAAGACGTCCCACCTGAAGGCGCACCTGCGCTGGCACGCCGGGGAGAGGCCCTTCATCTGCAACTGGCTCTTCTGCGGGAAGAGCTTCACCCGCTCGGACGAGCTCCAGCGCCACCTGCGCACGCACACCGGCGAGAAGCGCTTCGGCTGCCAGCAGTGCGGCAAGAGGTTCATGAGGAGCGACCACCTCTCCAAGCACGTCAAGACCCACCAGACCCGGAAGGGCCGGTCCGGTCAGCCCTCACAGAGCACAGACTCTCTGCTGACCAATATCAAGAGAGAGTAGTCCCGGTGGTCCTCCTTTCAAACACAATGAGCAACAGTGACCAGACTGTGTGAGTCCCACTTACTGCCATAGGTTTGCACTACAAGAGGGTAAGCACCCAGCTCCCCCAAATATTTCTTTTCTTGTGAAAGCCTTTGCTCTTGAATTCAAGGAAAAACCATATACACATATTTAGTTAGTAAGATTTTGAAGAAAACAAAACACCTTTAAAGAAAACTTGAAACCTTTTCCGGTGATATTGTGATCTGCTGCGTTCAGTCTTTATCTGCCTTCCACTATTTAAATATCATTCAAATCTCAGCTAATAGGAAATTATATATTTTTTTTCAAACTTCTTTGTGTAAATATTTCATCCATGTGAAGGATTTGACACACACACGAGAAAATTAAAAAAAGTGTTTACATTACTCTGTTGTCCAAATGTCATGTTTAATATAAATGTTTGCCTTTGTTCAAACTAACGTTGCTGCAGAAAAAAAAAATCTGTTTATCTTTCGAACAATATGCTTATAACGAATTAATGCCTGTGTTCCTGTTGATAATTCTATTTTTTATTCTAACGTATTTCCTAATTTGTCAGATTTGAGGTAGATATTTCTTTTGAAATGTAAACATGGGACTCTTTGATCCGCGGACGCGTCTGCTCTTCAGCAGCAATGTGAAGCACCACTCCTGCAGATTGGAAAACATTTTAAAATTTAAAGTTCTTTGTAAATTATGTATAAATATTGTGAACAATTTTATTTGGAATTTTGACAGCATGTACATTTTAATAAACATTGTCATGGAAACAGTTCCCTGTTTCTAATCTTGTTATTGCCCTAATATTGTAATTTTTACACCCTGACAACTGTTAATTGCATGAAATACACAGGATCACTGGGTTTTACCGTCTCACTGGCTCATCTAGTAAATGTGTGACTTTCTAACAGTGCGCTGGATTGCCTAAAAGATCTAACATTTTATTTAAATGATAATTTGATTGCTTTGAGAATACAAATGCTGCTCATTGTGATGTTTGTGTGAAGGAAGGAGCCTCTAAAGGAGCCCTAACATGGTGGGCTGTTCAAAGATTTTCAGACCTCAAAGTAAATACCCATCCCATTGATGGGGCTGTTTGTCTCGCCTGCTGCAATCAAGTTCACAGTCATGTGGCTTTTAATGAGTGTTTTCTTTCTCTCTATAGAGAAGATTGAGTCAACAGATGCAACAGAGGGCAATGAAGAAGAATTCCCCGTGAATGGGACCCCTGTTGCTGAGACCCCCTCTGTGGTGACAGGAACTCCCTTTGATTTTGCACCCTTGTGAAAGTTAATATCCCTCCCGCCCCAACCTCCATATATCACAGCCGTGTTACGATGGGCTCTGCTTTACTGCCCAGAATGGGGCTTTATTCAGAGGGCAGCCAACCAGATGTCTGCTCATCCAGGGGTTACCTCTCTTTGTTTCTAATCCTGTTTGAACTTCCTCCCATGGGATGCGAAAGCAAGCTAAATGCTTTGTCTTTGTCTAAAGTCCCATGGCAGAGTGTAAAAATTCCACTGCAAAATGCTAGTTCCAGTATAGATGTATACTAGTTCAATGTAATACAGACTGAAAAGCTCATTTAAGAAAATGTATGATTTACTGTCTACAAGTAAAAACTGATTAAATGAAACACTCAGAGAATCAAAATATAATAATAATAAACGGATATTTTTTTTGGCTCCTCTACTAAATGTGGTATATGCAGGGAAGCACAAACACTGCATTCAGTTTCAAAAAGACACTTTAATTGATATGATACAACTGGTTTAATGCAGCCAAATGTGGCATTTAACAACCCTCTCTGGTCTTTGGATCTCTGTAGTGGTATTCCTTTTGGATATACTTGGCCAGAAATTCCCATGAAAACGAATCTTTTCACATTATTTGCCACTGGAGTCTGTCATGGTTAAAATCAAACATTAACACACTTTATCATTTTCATTTTAGCCAAATGTTTACATTTTTTCATGTTTTATTTGTTTGCTTACTTGACATGTTATTGAAAACCTTGACGTGAGTTCTAAAATGTGAAGATTTTTTGTTTAAATCTTTGGTGTATGTAGCTGTATGATCCATCTAAACTGGAGGTGAAAGCCTTTTGGGGACTTCTGTTGGCTACAGCTATAAACACGCCGAAGAGGATCATGTCGCTTGATTTAAACTTGCCTCCCCTGTTTGTCACTTAGCTGTAAGGTCCAGAGGGAACTACAAATATCTTCGACTGTTCTGCAAGATTAGTGGCAAACTAAGCTGTAAAATCAGGGCCGGGATTATTTGACGGGTGAGCTGCAGATTGTTTTTGGCACTGTTGAGGAAGAGGCAGCATGCACATCAACGAAAAAGCCGTCACGTAGTTGTCAAATCTTTTAGATACTTGGGTCATTCTTCATTTTACAAGAAACAACGCATGATTGTTGTGTGTACTATACAGTATTTAGTCCGCAGGGGCAAAAGCTAAGAGATAATAGAAATGGTGCACAGCCTCGACATGACAACAGTGGATTAATAGAACTATTCATATTCGTTTAGAGAATGCAATTGTGAGGACTCCTGTCCCCGAGATCCCAAGCGACCCACTTCTGCCTGTAAAGAAAAATCTATGTAAAGTAGCATTGCCAGTCAGTCACCAAGGAGATGTTGCATGCAGAACTTCGGGTCAGCACAGCAGGCCCTTTCAATGCATTTGCAACCCCTCAAGAGTTGCCTTCAGAGTATAAAGAAATCTGAGGTGACGTCATACCCACAGAGAACCTCCAGGGGGCTCCCTCATGCCTTCTTGTCCAGATCAAAGTGAGTCCAGTCAAACAGAATTGCAGAGCACACAGGGGCTCTCAGCACTGTAGCAACAAAGAAAGTTCTTCACTTTCAGATTAAATTACAGCGAGGAAAGTTCTTGTGGCACGCTCGCATCACGTGTTCCGCCATTCCCGTTCTTGTCGACATAAACAGCAAACTCCGTTTACAGCAGGGACAATGAAAAAAAAGGATCCAGCTGCGGTTGTATCAATTGTGGGGTATCAGAAAAACTTCATTAAAGAGGTTAAAAAAAAGGGTACAAGAAGAGTCCTTGCATTCTCTCATGCACACAAACACATCCATACGTCATTTCAGGAACATAAATTCAGGCACACGTGTAACTCCAGTGACTGCCCCAGTCAGGAATGGAATCATCATACAGTTCCCCTCACCCCTTTAAAGAGAGACCAGTATCGAATACAAACTCTCTCAGAAGGTAAAAAGTAGAAATCGTCTTAAAATGGAGTGTTTTCTAACTCTGAGCCCAGTAAAAACGCTGCTGGGTGCTGTTCATGTCAGCGGGAGGTTACCAAGGCTTTAACGCCTCCAACTGACACACAGATTGCATGTTCGCAGCCAACAATTCCTTCATAACTCCGGTTCCTTCATCATCCTCCAGAACTTCGACGAGTGTTCACTACGTTTTGTCTTCACAGCCGTAGCAGTGGCTGCTGTCCTCCGGACCTGAGATCCGTACAGTTCACAGGTCGTCCTCAGCGAGCTGGGTCAGGTTGCTGGGCCGGCGTCCGGCTAAAGGGCCGGACGGAGGAGCCTGGCTTCCAGCCTCAGCGGTCTGGCCCCGGCGGCAGCCCTCTCCTGCTCTCTGCTGGGGAGATGGCAAACATTACTTCTAATGAGCACGTTTACTTTAATCCATGGCAAAAAAAAAAAAACACACAGTTTTTATCTTTCTTTTCTCATGCCTTTAGAGGAAAATGTTAAAAATGATAAACGTCTGAATATTTTCATTAACAGTCTCGATCTAAAACCCATCTCCCGGCCCAGGGGAAATGATTATGTGCATTTGATAAGCATCTCTCTGATTTCCTCCACTGACTTATCCTGTTTCCTGTTTGTTATGTGCCAAGCCAATACAGCACAAGTAAACAGAGACAGGGCTGGAGCACAACAAATGCTGCTCCATCAGCACTGTGCCGTCAAGAACAATGGCCCAGTGATGACAGAAGGTCATTTAGCTCATGATAATATAAAGCCAGCCAGAAGGATATTTATAATGCTTTCAGATGTTTTCTGAGAAGGTTATCTTTCCTTTTTGTTGTTTTTTCCAAACAGATTTTACTAAATTAAACAAGACTTATTTTTCTTTGACAAATGGCAATTCCTTGTTTTTCCAACAGGGGGCGAAATAACTCCTTTTATTAAAAAAAAAACTCAAAGGATGTTTGTTTGAATCAATGGTCTTATTTTTAAACGCAAGTAAACTTTTGATTAACAGTAAAGGATTTAATTGAATTTCTATTTCACAGTGCATGAGATTATTTCCCCATTGTATTTTTTTTTTGTGACTTGTTTTTGTTTTCATGTACTTTTTCCAATGCTGTTATGAATTTTTATTAAAACAGCACAGCTGAGCTACATCCCAAATAACTGTTAACTTGTTCACTTTGACGCAAATTACCTTTTGTACATTTATCTAAAAGTTTATATCTACCTGTGAACCTTGGGTGGTTGGCGTGTAAAGCCCGTTTGTCACAGCTTGATAGTTTGGCTGATCAGTGAGGCCGAGCCGGACGTGTGATGGAGAAACATTGTGAGAGTCAGCAGGGCATGACTGGACTACAGTTCCCTGCAGACGTAGGTAAGAACATGTGAGTCACTCAGTGCCGCAGAGCACGCAAACAAAGCAATTTATTGTTTTTCATTGATCCCACATACTAGTCGAGCATCCACAAAAGATTATACAAAGCGGAGATCTTCTACACAGAGAGGCGGTACAAAATTGGGCTGTTGATACAGTACGGTGTCACTGTGCGACATCAGTAAAACTGAGGGCACCTACATCCCTTAGTGAGCAGGTCTCGCTGGGGCCTTGGCTGGGGCCTTGGCTCGGCAGGTAGAGCGCAGGCAGAGAGGTGTTGTAAGAGTGCAGGGAGGGCAGCTTGTGGCGGTCAATAGAGGCGGACGAGTGGGGCCGCAGGGCACTGGCCGCGGACAGAGGGGGCCTCATGCTGCGGCCCAAGCTATTGGACTTGCTCTCTCTGCGTTGATACTCTATAGGTGACTGTAAGGCTGGAATAAAGAACAGAGATGCAATAGGTTTGTACGCTTTTTAAGTTGGAGGGTTGAGCTCTTATTTATTGTGAGGAGGCAGGAGGATGACCTGTGAAGAATTTAATTTCTGCACACACAAATTCATAAAAATATTCTTAAAACAAACTGTCCATTAGATTATGACTCTGTGTACCAAACGTTAGACTCACTATGACTAAATGTGACATATCGGTGCTATTTCTAGCATCACTGGGCTTTCAAATAAAACTAGACAAGGGGCAGAATGAGTCTAATGGGCTGAATCAGCAGCTCACACTGCAAGTGAGTTCACCCGTAGTGAACAAACAGGAAACCACATGATTTATAGATTCGGGAGACCGTCTTTTTGGAGTCCCCAGAGCTCAGTTGTGTCATACCGTTGAGGAAGTTGCGCTGGCTTTCCAGGATCTGAACCACGTCGTTGACCCAGGCCCTGCCGGTCTCTGGGGAGGAGGCTTGCAACTGGAAGCGTACCACGCTCCCGTCGGGGTTGCGTGAAGTCAAAACAAAGCGTGCATCGTCACCGTCCACGCCGGGCTCCACCCCCAGGCAGCTCACCTGGAACACATCACATCTGAATAGCACCTGGGAGGAGCTCATCCTGCTCAGCTGCTTGTTAAACAACACACGTGGGCCTCTAAAAACTCAGAGGAATTACATAACGTGCTAATTAGGGCAGTAATTACTCTGTTGTGAATCAGTTGTCCAACTCACAGCCACGGAGCGGGATGCATTTTCAAACGTCTCTATGTTTTATGTTACGGACACATCCCGGGGGCATTTCCACACTAAACGTGCTCCCACCTTGATGCTGTTCTTGAAGGTGTACCCGGGCAGCAAGAAGCCTTTCTTCCTGTCGATGGGCTCGCTGAAGATGACCAGCTGCTCGAACAAAAAGACTCGTCTCTCCTTGGCTCGAGAAAGGAAGCTACTGTCCTGCTCAGTGACGGTGAAGGTGTCTTGCTGGAGCAGTTTGCCCTGCGCTGTGATCTTCCCCTGGTACACAAAACAAGCCTGTGTTACCATGGGGCTGTCACTCGGGCTGCATATTCAGCAGGACAAATGTCAAGGCAAGTATCCTACGACTCACCTCAAAGCCTTGCAATCTGCCCACATTCATCATGTCGTTGCATCGTTTTGGCACAAAGCACATCACCTCCACAGCTTTCTGTTGACCACATAAAAATGAGCTTTGTATTCAACGTGCAAAAATTACCCCGCTCACGCAAAATGCATTCGGTTAATTCGATGTATATTTCCTCATTGAGTAAGTCACCTCCAACTCCTCGGTGTCCATCCCAGCTTTGGTGTAATACTTTAGGAAGTCCTGTCGAAATAAACCCAGAATGGTCACAAGAGCATCCCAGGTTTACAGCCCAAAGAAAGGTGAGAACATCTGGAAGAGTATTTATGGGTGTTGAACTCACCATTCATTAGAGTGCTAAAGGGTACTGTTTTAAAATCGGCCAAAGACTTCAAAGACTTTTGCTCATTATCGTTTAAATCTCCTCGTATGAAAGGGAGTCTAACATGAGAATTAGCCTCTTCCTCTGTGATAGGAACATTACCTGAGCAGACGACATGTTAAGGGGGTGTTTATGCACGCAGGGTGTTTACGTTAGCTCGTGTGTTTGCGGCTTCGTGGTAGACGTTGCCGTGAGTGGGACTGCTTTGATATATGACCGTTTAGGTGCCGTATTCCAGTGTTCACCTTGAGCAGAAGCTGGTACTTCATGATCCTCTGGACAGGTTTAATGAGCAGGTCGTTGAGCTGCAGCCGGTGGCCCAGCTGCTGCCGGAGCTCCTGACACACACACAACACCGGTCAACACCACAGCCGCCGCATAAAACACAGCGCCTGATGGCCACCATAATCCCAATAAAACAATAAACCCTGAGCATTACACTCCAAACATGCATTTGTCTGGTGTTGACTGTCAGTGAAAATGAAATGGCGGCTCAAAGCAATCCATACGGCCGCCCAAAGGATCCACACTGACACATGCACAAACTCAGCCACAAAAAAAAGGCACAAAAAAGAATTCACCATACATAGTTTTGCTTAAAAAAAGGTCTTCAAAAGGTAGATGTTGAACATTTCTCACCTCAAAGTAAGTCTCAATGTACTCGGACACGATGTGTTCTGACTTGGGCTTGTTCTGACAGTACACAACATACATATGCAGACGCCTCTCCTGGAAGGCAAGCCAAAAGAACCTCACATCACATCTTTGTGTAGTCACACATTAGCAAAAACGGTTGTAAAATGAGACAAATGCAGCATCATATCCATGAATAGATGTCACATGACTAAATTCAGAATGAAGACATTACAGAAAAAAGCAATACAACATCTGAGGAAAATATTTCGTTCTAGCTGAAACACTGGCAGTTTTTTCTTTGTTCTTTTTTTGTCAAGTATTTTTTATTTTTTTATTCTATTATTTTATTATTCTATTATTTTATTTTCATGTTTATTTTTATTTTATTTTATTTTATTTTTATTTGCATTTCTTTTATTTTATTTTTTTATATATTTTTATTTATTTATTTTTTATTCAGTTAAAATACTTACCAGTAAAGAGCATTGCACATTTGTCAGCCTTGCTGGTATCAAAGCCAACCCTAATGTGTGATAAAAATGTGATGTTTCATCGCTGTGTTGATGTGTTTTCTACTTCCTCGTGTTTTGTGAAACTGCTTTTTGCTTTGTTTTTGTGTTTACTAAACTGCAAAGCCTCTAGACATGTTTTGATGGTGAAATGTTTTCTTTTTGTTGTTTTTTGTTGCCTCTTTGTTGATACGTCCTTGTTAGCTCTCCTGAAACATTGTTGTATTGTTGTTTTGTACAAAGCTCTGGTGTTTTCTAGAGATGTTTCTTCATTTTCTGAAACATCACAATGTTCTCTACTTTGTTATGATTCACGACATGTTGTGTATATGTCTTTTTTGTTGTTGTGTTATGTCTAAAGCTGATGTATTTTGTGCTGCAGGACCACAATAACAAACACGAAAAGGCCTTAATGTAAGCCTCTGTGTGAGAAAAATGCAACTTTGATATCTTCACAAGTGCAGGAAAATGCCCTTGAAAGTGAGCAAAAGCAGCAGCTCTGTGTGCCGCGTCTCTGGTTGCTGTTTGGGATGAAAAGAAGCGGAGCAATAATGATTTGTCTCCGAGTGCAGTGCCTTTGAAGCCGATTCCGTCTTATGGTGCCTACCCTTCTGTGACTAATTCCCATGAGAGCCAAGATGTGGCACTGCTGACAGAGCTAATGGAGCAACATGTAAATGAGCATCAGGTTATATATAATTCACCCAGGGTTACTCTCTGTGTAACCGGAGCCTTTGACGACCCATCGACATACGGCTGCGCCTAGCAACAGGTTGCATGGCTCTGTAACCTGGGATATGGACGACTTGAAACAATCCAGACAGTCACCACTGAGATATGAGGGAGAGTGCCGTCCACGTCGACCGACGCTGTGCACCACTGTGTTCAAACGGGTTCACAGATGGCGTGTGTGTTGCATTGGTGGCATCGTTGTGGTTAAAAGCATATCAAACGTTCTGCTTTTCATTATGGCCGCGTTCCCAATCTGCTTGTTTTCACTGTTTGACACCATGCTTAGATTTGGTTACATGTTTCTTTATTCCCCCCACAGGCCTTTCAAATTGATTTTCCACTGGGCTGAGCATCGTTATATTGTTGAAACATGTGGCGTGAGGGAGAGAGGGAATACGGCAAAATAAAGAGAAAAGGTTTTTGACTTAATTACTTTTAAGCAAAGCTGAGTCGGTCAAATTACCCATCTTGTCTACCTCGTCTGCATGTGCCACCGCTTAACCAATATATATAAATCTAATTTTGCTCCCTGGATAAGTCCTGTGTGACCCTATACTGACTCTGTCTCTATCCAGTTCCAAGAACAATATAACTGGCTGTGATTTTTGTGGGGGGGGGTTGGGGAGGATTGGGGGGCTTTTTGTTTTTTTGTTTTTTTCACCGCACATGGTTTTGCTTTGTTTTCAAACAAGCAGATGCAGGAAGACTTAAGTAAGAGTTTTGGCTAGTTTGGGATTTCCGGTGCCGTTTCCTGACCGGTCCGGCCCAGACTGTGCGATCAGTCGCTACGTGTCGTTTGTGTGTGTTACTGTCTGAGTGCCCTGTTGTAAAAAAGACGGCCTGAATCAGACGTGTCAGTAACAACGGACAGGAAAGAGCTGAGCCGACAGCTGAGAGAGAAGGAGAGAGCTACGCGATATAAGAACTGGAGCTCTGGGTGTCTTTACTTTTTTTTATTACCTTCATCTCAAACTGCACAAGTAGGCGCAGGCTGGTATGCATGTCAATGTGTGTGTGAGTGCCTAGTTTGTAACCATACTCACATGTTTAATAAAGAGCTGAGCCAGTCTCTCTGGCTCTGCCAAACACTTCTCCAGCTCTCCCAGGAAGTAGCTGAAGGGAGAAAACACAAACACAGTCGTTCCTTAAAGCAGAAGTTGGGATTTCGCTGCTGAACTTTTGTTCTACTTCGCGGATCTTCTGTTTCCATTTCACCTAATTGGCAAACGAAGCTAACTTCTCAAAAATCGTTTCAAATAATGGACTCACTCTTGATGCCAGTCAAAAATTTGATGAATGTTTCCAAAAACAATCTTGTCTTTTCCCTTCATGTCCTCTGGCACACCTTTGGAGTTCATTGTGGCCATGTAGCCCTGCAAGCAAGAACGGGAAGAGTTGCTGATGTTTGTCAGTTCATCCCCTCAAAAATGCTCAGGGTTATTTCACAAAGCTGAGTTGTTTCACTAAAGAGCAGCGACAACACACCAAACATTTCGGATCTTTTATTATCCTTCAGATGGCTAGAGTTCCTCTCTGAACCAAAATATCTGCTGTTATTTAAGGCAACAGGCAGATTGAAAGACCTGCCACATAATACTCCTCAAGTTTCTAATTCATAAAATCTGCTTAAGGCTGGCGGCGGCAGGATGGAGGCAGACCAAAGTGTTAAGCAAAGTGGAAGGATTTTGATGATTAGGATTTAGAGATCTCTTTGACAGGCTGGGTGGCTGACAGTGTCAGTACAGACTGTGTATTCTTAGCTGGTCGGCTGTGAGCTTTACCTCCACTATGAGCCCCAGGTCTACCACATAGTGCTTCTCTGTTTCAATAAGCTCCTGCAGTACATACCTGTGAAGAAATAAATAAAGAGCGATTAGTATTAAGATTCATGTTGCTGATTTATTTCAGCCAAATGATAATAACATAGTAAAATTACAATATGTTACAATTCTTTCTTTCAAGAACTGCATATTTCAGCTTAATTTCCGAAAAGAGCTACATTATTTGGTGGAGTTGGGGAAATATTAAGACAAAATGGATAAAGCATTCAGCTGTTGCACTTTCAAATGAACAATCACACTTGATTTAGAGAACCTGCAAAGATATTTAACTTGACAAAGGGCAGCCGATCACACATAATATGCTCTCTGTGTTTTTAGTGGCTTTTAACAGCCCCTCTAAGAGCAAGACTCAGAAATCACAGCGTGAATTGAGCACAGACCCCAAGGAGAAGAGTGGGAGATTATGAAGTTGAAAATCATGGGGAGTTCCAATTTTGTACCTTGATTCTTAATGTTCAGTCTCTCAGCTTCAATGCCAAGTAACTTAACATAATCTGGCCTCTTTGTTCATTTCATTAAGTCCATCAATGTATATATTTTATTAATGCCAACAATAGACCTGGAGGACGTGGAAAGTGGGATTATGTCTCTTTGCCTTTTGTCTGTCTTGCTCTGTGATGAACTGGAAACTGGTCCGGGCCCACTGAAAAGAGCTCGCCACCTCTCTAACCACGTACAGGATGAAGCCGGTGTGGAAAATGAATGAATATTTGTCTGTGTGTCTGCCCCTCTCTCCACAGCTGTTTTTCTGATCTACTCCTGAGCGTAGTGTTGGGTGCAGGCAGTGTCTTTTTCTGGGTTTTCCCTATTCTGTGGGTTAGTGGACAACCTTGGGCTCAGTCAACCTGTTGCTAAGCAACACAATCAAATGCACTGCCTGGGCTTTCCTGCTTTTTCCTGACCTTACAGATAAAGTCCACAGTTCATAACACATGCCTGTTACGGCAGGCACACATACTTATTTTTCTTTATATATTGGAAAATATTATTTCAATGACCTTGCCTCTCACCCAGTTCCAGCTGGGACAGGCTTCAGCCTCCCTACTAGGAGTAAGGACAATGAATGAATGATTAAGTTCTAAAAGCTAAATGATGCACACCTTTAAGCTTTGGTATTAGCGGAGATCTTTCGTGCTGTGTCTCTGATGTATCTGATTTCTTCAGTCATAGAAAAAAAAATACTGCCACTATGGAAATACTGACTAAGTTAAGTTCAGACGTTAAATCCTCTTGATGACACTGTTTCTGCTTTCAAACACAACGTTGTTCAAGCCCATTTGCTATGCGAACACATGACCGCAACTCTCCAGTTAGATTTATTTTAAAAGATCATATCTAAGATGTGTGGATGTCCGTATTGTTTAAAGACATACATGCTTTTCTCTAAGGCACTTCTTCTCTCCTCTTCAGTGTCAGCCACAGCTGACCATTGGCTGGAGGTGTCATCCATCAAGACTGACCCACTGTCATCTGGGAGAACACTAGTGGGCTGAGTGTCCTGTGGAAGCAGAGACATGCGGGCAGAAAAAAATGTTTATCAAAGATCCGGTGCCAGCAATGTGGATCACACCATGAATAAAGAAAACAAAGGGAGATAAAGACCCGGAAAGCTATGGTAATGATGCAGGTTGCCAAGGTAACTAAGGGGTGCATACAGGCATAACCAACAGAGATCGAAAGATAAAAAGATCCGAATCAGATTGCTGCTGTTAATGATCATGACTGCACCACACATAGAGGAAAGATGTAGAAGTAGTTAGAAAAAGCAAAAGGCTCCAATAGCTGTTGGAGAAAACAAAACCATAAATGGGCTTGACAATGTTGTGACTTCAAAGAATACAACACATCGGACACAGTGGACATTGTATTCTGATAGATGATTCAACACATACAGAATCAAGTATGTGTCATATAAATGTATGTGTCTATATCTCACATCCCTCTAGGCTGTTTTTTTCTAGTATTACTCCTTCTGTCAACATCTTTAAGTCTGGTCATCACGGCTTCAGTACACAGGATAAAACCTAGGTTACAGCAAACTAAACAATTGCGTTTTTGTGTTGTATACATAACATCCTTTTCATGCCTTTTCCTGGAATTGATATCAGTTACCGTGTGAGACTCCTGGGTTACTGTGGTCACCGCGCACACTACAGCAAAACCTTCAAAGACCATAATCACATCTGACTCAATTACTTGAGCCTGACTTAGTTTTTATCAACCTTTAATTTTTTTTCAATGAGTGTACTTAGCTCTTACATGCAAAATAACTCACAACATTAATTTCCATAAAATTATGTCCACCTATTAAGTTGCTGGTTGTTGTTTTTTATATGTATGTATACAAATAAGTCACTTAGTGGGTCATACATTTTTCCTAACGATACAAATAAACTTAAAGAGGCAGATGTCTGTCTTCACACAAATCCCAGTGTCCCCTTTTCGAAGCCAAGCAGAGCCTACCCACCCTAAACTCATACACAAACCAGCAAACACTACACACATGCATCTGACTCCCAAAGCAGACAGTTTCCTTGTGGAGAAATAAACAGACGGGTGGATAGATACACATACAAGCAAAAGAAAAGAGTGAGAGGACTTTCTCCTTTTCTTGCCTGGTCTAGTTCAACTTGTTCACCTGCCGAGTCTGTGAAAAAACCTGTTAGCATCTGCGAGCGTTGAGCTTTCTGTTCTGTCACAGAAAATGGAGGAGACTAAACAAAGAGTGATGTGCAGGCAGAGACAGATAGGCTCCATGGCGACCTTGTCTCAACCAGCTCGTCCTGCCCTGCTCAGAGTGCTCCTGCCTGGCTGCTGTTCTGCCCCACTCGCTGATCATTTCCAGATGCTGTGTGGCAAAGCCCACAGGAAAATTCATGTCTCCTTCTGTTGTACGTTTAGATTTTAATACCCAGAAGTCCATGACAAAAACAGAAAGAACTACTGGCTTCTTTTGTCAGCAAGGCAGTGCAGCACTGAGTTGAAAGTGATTACCAGATTACCTTCCTACAACAGCTTTCCAGAGGAGTTGAAGAATTGTCTAAAAGTAACTCAAATCAAATCTGGAATTGGTTAATTCATTTGAACCTCTTCTTACCAGACACAAGTTTATTTTAGAAGCTATTTTGTGATTTCACAGGCCAACTTATCTAATGTATTTCTACATTATGAGTTTAATTCAGTGACAGATCTGGAGTGCAAGTAGCTTCACATACTGGTGCTTTCCCACATAATCTGGTCATCCGTACTGTGGACGCTGATACAGTATGACCCCATATAACAACAGCTGCTGGCTTTTACAATCCCTGTTGATGACACGAGATGATATCTGATCTTTTCCACGTTGAGTCAGTTGTCCATTTTCCCCCAAAAGCAGCTGAAAAAGGGACTTATCTGACAGTTACATTGATCACGGTGCTACGGCCAATTCATGTTGTGTGAGGGGCTCAAAGGTCACTAATATCCAGTGGTGCTTTCAATCGTTCACCTAACACTGAGATTTAGCACCACAAAAAACTAATAAAGCTTTCCATTATATCAGTAGATGCTCAGTGTCTCAGTTTGATATAAAGTAAGGAGTTATGACTCATCTTTCATGACTCATCTTTGCCTAGATAGAGTAAGTATTGGATGCTCTTTTTATACACCTTTGTTTATTCAGTTTTGCTGGCACTTTTTTACTTAGTTTGCTGGCACTTTTTAATTGCTTTGGAAACATATTTGACTGTTTTTCTCTCCAACCATTATTCAAACATAGAATTTGTAACTGTGTCTATTTAAAAAAAAGATTCTAACAAATAACAGAAGGTTCTGTGGACTTAAGGAAAACTTGAATAAATGAGTTTGTATTGCAACTTTATACTTTCCTGTTAAGAGTTGACTGCTAAACAGACATGTTAGGAGTCCAGACCACACATCCACTGAATGTATCCGACAAAACCCTGTTTCAAGTATAGGAAACTTTATAAAAGTAGTTTCAAATTAATTTTGAATATGTTGTTTTGAACAATGAATATCACTCGGCCATTTATTTTCAATGAGGAGAGGGTAAACCTTTCAAAGGAAATATCATACCAATATAACTGAGCACAAAGTGTTATGCTTCTAAAGGCAAACGGAGGGAAGTCATATCTAAAGTCTAGAAAATCCCACTGACTTTGAAGATATTTAAAAATAACAGCACCAATTGCTTTCTGCATTTGGCTAAGTCATTTTCAATCTGTGGGTCACGATGACAGACAGAACAAAGTGTTCTGCACAAAAACCAGTCTAATAAATACTAAGGATCTGTTTACGTTTTACCCCACAGCTTGTTCATCTCCCACTGTTCTGAGTAATTTCCAAGTGATGTGCTGTGTGACAGTACAATAACGCATGTGACACAACACCTTTTGGCAAGGGTGGGATAGACCAGTGAAACCAGGGGATCGCAAAAGAATCGCTTTGCTCCTCCGACTCTTTCTTGTTTCAGCTCTGCCTCAAAAGTCTAGCAGTAAAAGTACCAAAGCACTGACCTCATCCCTCTGATGTAATCACAATAATTCCTTTCGGTGTGCTGTCAAGAATGAAATTAGGATTTAAGTGCTCAAGTGTTGACTCACAAACAGGAGACAGGCTCATATGGTGTTCATCTCCATGAGGGACTGCTGATTAATGCAACTTTTCAGCTTTTGAAACAAAACTCGGTTTCTGGCAAGCTTCCATTTGACAGCAGAAAGGAACCCCACAAACACCTAACGTGAGAGCTGCCTTGCCTCAAGCGACTGACTGCGAGAGCCTGATGGAGAAATGAAAACGTATGTGTTCACGCAATGCTCTTTCATCATGTCTGCCGTTTTGTGCTATTTCCTATTTGTCTCCAGGCATGTCCTTTTGTAAGATGTTGAACCTGAGTCATGATTCACACAGGGTGCCATAAAACTCTACATTCTGATCCTCTGGGCATTACTCTGTTTTGAGAGAACCTTGGATTAATCTAAGCTCTCTCATATATATATGCGTCAGTGGAAGTGCTGTGCATGTCTCTATGTGTGGAGTCTGCGTGGGATTTGTGTGCATGTACATGGTGGAAATTCAGCCCTCCCTAAATGTTTGTCTGCAGTTGTTTTTGCCTGATTACTGAGTTCCATGGGCAGTGAGCTGGCAATTTCCACATCTGGGAGGAGGGTCACACAAGCAAAGAGCACTGGTGTGACCTCCCCTGAAGGCTGGGTCATCAAAAGGAGAATTACTGCCACTGCTCTCTGGGATTTTTTACTATAAGCTGACATATAAACGGAACATGTGGCAGATTTAGCCTTCATATATTAAAACACATCAAACCTCCATAGATACTGGATTCAAAAGATTACAACCTGCATTTAGGCCGTGTGTCATAAATTTGTGATGAAAATTGTATTTATTGACATCAATAGTAGGCTAAATTGAAATGTTAGTTTTTTACTATTTAAATAAGTCAAACCTGGGGATCTGGCAGTGATGTGCAGCCAATCAGGGAGCCAGTTATGCAGCTGGGTGGCTGTAGTGAGGCTGGTGAGAGATCCTCAGGGCTTGCAAGGCCATCTTTCCACTCCTAGAACATGCATGCACACACACACACACACACACACACACACACACGCAAAGACATGGCAAAAGAGTTGAAAGACAATATAGCATGATTCACAACGTCTGTATAATGTTCATGCTTTCGGCCACACAGGACACACCAAAGGAGCCTTGTGGCACAAGATATTGCAAGCTGGTCCAGCGGAGTGGCAATTCTGGCACCTGACATGAGACCTCAGATGTCAAGCGTGTGTCTCTGCTGACATTCTTGGGCTACCTAAAGTAAACAAGCTGTGGTTGTTCAGGATGTTGGCTACCATTTTTGTTTATGTAAGAGAAAACCAGCTCATGCAAAGACCTTGTTAGATGATGATGTGAGTATAATTTTGGTCTCGAAGTTTACTTAAGAGGTGGTTCGCTCCAACAGTTCCAAATTTAACTTTGAGTTGAAAGCCAGAATTCTCAGTCTCGTTTGATTAGTTGGTGTAGCCAGGAGGGGGAAAAAAAGAACATCCATGTTAAAATTTTTACATTTGCTTCTCACCAGTTCTCTGTGGGTGACAGGTAAAATAGTGAAAGTATCATCAGGCCTCGGAGGGCTGCCCAGATCTTGGCTGTGGCTGTGGGATGAAAGTGGTGGAGGTTTCCCCTCGAGCTTTCGGACCTGCCGCTCCCCTTTCCCAGCGGATCCAGCGCTGAGTTTGCGGACAGGGTTGGTGAGCCACTTCTTCAGGGTGCTCACAGAGCGCCTGGAGCCCGGAGAGCTGGGGGCTGAACTGCCTGATGGCTGGGGAGGCAGTGACGCCACAGAGGTGGAGATGCTGCCCTCGCTGCCTGCTGCCGAGTACGAGTCTGGAGGGAAGGATGCAGAGAGAGAAATCAATGGAAAGGTAACCAGCTGCTAGATAAGGGCTAACTGCGTCACAGGGCAGAGTACACTCAGCTCTCAGACCTCAGCCAATCTATGAATTAAGACTAAAAGGTAAGTGCAAAAAGAAGATATTGCTTGAGACACAGTGAAACGTAAGCATTGGGTGGGTGAGAGAAAATGTGCAGCGCTGTGAGAAGACAGACCATTTAAAAGTTAAGTAATGAATGAAACCAAAAGAGAGAGTGCATACATACACAGGCTTCTTCTTCAAACACAGCTGTTCTGCCGTGCAGCAGTACCATAAAAGACTTACTGTTTATAGCACACTGTTTTTCAGTTTTTTTTCACATGTATGTTTGTATGTCTTCATCACACCAGCACATTACTGGTGACAGAAAACAGATCAGTATGGCTAACATTTGGTATGTAAAGTACTAAAGAGCATATTTGCTGTTTGTCTGCTGAACAGTGATGTCAAAAGGACATGGGAAGTGAGCTGAAGGACCGGACATCCACTTTAATCCCTTTTAAAGTGGGAGATCCTTGCCTGAGACTGTTTGTTTTTTCTGTATTGTCCTCATTTCCCATCCTGCTTCAAGACCCCGGCCTATCGCTCTCTCCTTCAGCCTTCCTCAGTCCAGGGCTTCTCTTCTAAACTTTGTATAGAGAGTTTCATCTGTTCTGATACTGTAAAATTGTGCTGTCCATCTATATTCAAGCCTCATACCCCTGATTCTTAATCACCACTCTACTGCTGGAGAATTTCTCTGTCATTATACAACCAACTACACTAATTATTTTTCAAACACAGCTGCCATTTTTCCCAACTGTGTCACAGGCAAATGACAAGGAAGATCTAAATAACTCAATTTCGGTTTCTAAAAAAAAACCCTTAACAAGTTTCAAACAAGCTTGTGAATCTATTAAATATTTGTTTATGAGAAGATGACACAGGGTTTATTATTATGTGGACCTCAGAGAGAGATCTTATCACAGCCTTTAGTGGTTAGACCCGGACTGCAGACACAACACGGTCTATTCAGTAAGCAAGAATAAATTCAACATCTTCCTCAAGGTTCTTATGAAGGAAGACTGACCATTTATACACCAAAGCAAACACATGGTAAATATCCCCCTCTTCAAAATCCAATAATGACCACAGTGCTGATCAATGAAAATTAACTTTGTACTCTGCACTGCACACAGTCGAGTGTTTCCCTGACATGTCACACCTATCAGCGCACAGGAATAGAGGTTAAACAGATATGTTGCAGTTTAAGGTGCAAAGGTGTTGTTTTGGTGTATTTTTCATACCAGAAACAACCATTTCTCTCCTCTTATTATTTTCCATAACTCCTTTGGCATGCACAGTGTTATCATATGGGCTTTTGAAGTGATTAAATGGAACAGACTTCCCAAGACAGAATCCAATACTCCTCCATAAGACTGGAGACTGTAAGGAGATCTGAGCCAGGTAGGATGGAGAGCTGAGCAGCCACAAGAGACAGGCAGTGCAGAGGTAGATAAAGTGGGAGAATAGATAGTAGAAGAATAAAAGCATCTGAAAGTCACTAAGCACATGAATGGAAAAAAGCTAAACTATCTGTGAAGGTTGCAAAAGAAAAAGGTCAAATGAAGTGAAAATGACAGTGAGCACACTAACACTGACTCAACTCCCAACCCAGTTTCCTGATCTCTGACAACCTCTAGTCCCAAAGGCTTGTGTTTCCCAGAGTTCCTAGTTAGGTCAGTGTTTAAGGGTCTAAATGCACACATACATCTTCTAACACAATTGTTAACGATGCCCAAACATTAGCTAACCAAAGCTAGGGAAAAAAGCAGTTCATCTGACTACGGCACAACTTTGTGATTGAAACTGCATCATTTGCACACATAAACACAAAGCTGCATGATTTCCAGATTATATAATGACATCAATCACTATGGCAACATTTAATTGTGCATGCAGAATGGCTCCATTTCCCTGTAGGCCCTGGAAAGTTTATTTTCTGTATTCTCAGCGCAGGCCAACTCATCACAGTGACATTTATCGCATCTATTTCACGGTAACAGCATGAAAACTGACACAAAAGAAGATGGTGAGTCTCGCTTCCGAGAGAAAATCCTCCCATCACATTGCAAGATGAGTGGCGTCAATACTGTTATACACCTACAGAGAGGAAATTGAGAAAAAAATATCCCTCCTCCCTCTCCCTTGTTTTGCTGCGTGTTGGTTGTGCCCCATGATATTCATCTCCATAATGATGGTGCTAAGAGAAGATTTTGTTAATGCAACTTGACTGTTTAGGTGGTTATGATAATTAACAGTTGAAGGCACATGGCAGTGGGACTGCATTAAGCTGGCCCAATCTGTGGTGATTTGCTAATGCTGGGCTATCACCAGTCGCCCACTCACTGTCTGAAAGGCTCAGTGCCTGCCTTTGGTGGGAGGCTCATCCAAAAGTGCTGCATGGTGTAACTCTAGAGCCAAAGTGAGTATCTGCTCTAAAGTAGTTCCAGATTTTTTTCCTCACGTTGTTCTCTCAAGTGAAATACGATCGCATCATTAGGGCAACACAGAAAAGTCTGATCCCCTGGCAAGATTTTAATTTCCGTCGTTGCCAAGTGTGTTTGCCTGTCCACTCCAAATAAACACTTTCAATCAATTATTTAGCAAAAATCCAAACAAATGTGTTAACATGGAATGAAAACTAAAATTGGAGCAATGAACTGCAGCAAATTTTTTTCTAATTTTCAAATGATTGAAGAGATTCATCCTGAGACAACAGACCTGTACAATGTTATTCCGTTTAAGAAAAAAGATTAACAATATGGGTGGGTTGCAAAGGAGCTTCTCCAGCAGAATCATACAATGCAGTTGGATAGAATTATCCATTGATTTTTAAAGCTTTGTTGGCCAATCGTGTGTAAGGGGACAATATTTGATGCTATGCTCCTGAAGGCTGTAACTGTTTTGTCCATGGCTGGATCTAAGAAGTCTCTTTGAGCTACTTTTTATTGATCAGGTGATGAGTGAGTGCTGCTGAGCTGACAAATCAGGCTAAAAGCGTTGGCTGTAATGGAGCAGACTTGTTCACGGCCCCTCCTCTGTGGAGCGCTTTGTCAATTCTATGGTCTCTCAGGACCAAAGGCAATTTAGACATTACTGGACTCCATTAATAAACACATATATGCAGGCTCCACTAAACTTGCAAGTCCACACAAACTGCACGAGCACATTTCTCCACAGCCCTGATGGGCACACGGCTGCAGACTGTTCACTTGTCAGAGTAAAAAACACACCGCGCATTCGGGGCAGACGCCCTGCTGGTCACACAGCAGCAAGCATGTCAAATATCCAGCCGGGGCTTTAAGAGAGCTGTCAGTCAATGCCAGCACCTCACAGATCATAGCACCAGGGGAAGCATAGTGGTCGGGATGCCAAAAACCTCTCAAGACAATATAGTGCTTGCATTCTCTGTTCTGTCTCATTCTTCGCCCCCTCATCCTGAGATAGCTGAGGTTCTGCTGGTATATTACATTTCTCCCACTCAGAGGAAATGGGCATGCTCCTCCTCAGCCAGGAGGACACAATCCGCACTCAGGTCTGAACTGAATGACCTCAGAGGCCACGAGGTACTTAGGTACTTTAACACATGATCGAAAAGCCTCGAACCTCCATGTACATAAGAAGTTTTGCAGTATAGGATTCAGCACATCGTGCTGTACTGACTTTAAATCCCAGTCTCTTAATCTAATATGAGAATTATACGTTAGCCCCAGGCTGGTTCATGAGTGTTTTCTTTGCACTGCTGCTGATTAATGAAATCCTGGCACTCAGCTTTTCATTTCAGTCCTCCTCTTCCCTTTCGACTACACCACCTCCTTCTGCCATCCTCTCTTGCACTCTCACCCCTCTTAGCCTCTGCATCTCTGTGCACTGCAGCACTTTTCAAACAGCAACTGGGTCCTGCCCTGGGATCAGGACATACCGCTCCCTCTTCTGATGCAATGCCCTCCTCTGCTCTCCCACAAAGCTGCTGAGACCAGCACAACTTTGACACACAAAACCATCTGGCAGAGAAAACAGTGACATGGGAGAAAGGGGAAAGTATTTTGGACTTTTTCATTTTTTTTTCACTGAATCTTGAGCAACTGAATACGTGATCCGGGAGATCATTTAAAAAGACTTAGCCCAAACAAGAAAGTGAAGAAGTAAATGTCAGAAAAAGGGTGAACTTATGTGACTGGCTGATAGAAAGAGCAGACGTTGTTTCTGCTTTAGAGTACAGCAGTAAAAGAAAGTCGGAGGGAGGTCAACTCATGCAGCTGTGGGTGAAGGGGCAAAGAGAGGAGGGGACAGGAAAGCGAGACAGTTCAGATTGCATTCAAAGAAACACAGACATGGGCACGACAGCAGTGTGTGTATCATGTGCTGGCACACAAAGTGTGTCCACAAAGTCACACTCCGCAGTCAGACGAGGGAGCAGTGGTTTCCTGTCCTTCTACTGACCTACTTTAGACAGAGACACATGCACTCACTGCTGTGATTCCAGGAGCACGGGAGGAAATACGTGGTAGACACATCAAGCGACACACAAATAAGCCATCAGGGTCGGTTTCCTGCTGTCAGCACCCGAAGCCAGAATCTGTGGCATATTTTTCATCAGAGAACAGCTAAATGGCTCTGACAGTCATAAGGAAAATGTGGCCCAAAATGTTATACTGGTGTTAATAATTTTCTTTCCATAATGATGAGAAAAAGAGGTTTGGATACTTCAGTTTCTGTGGTGGAACAACTTGAGATGACAGACATTTTCTAATGCCACTGACTGCTGGTCAACATGAGAAAGTCAGGCATTTTCACTTGGTGAAGGTGGTGTGTTTATGCCACAGTTTCTGCCTCAGGCTGAAATAAGACTCCTGCAATTTCAGCTGAGCATTCAATCATTCCACCAACAGTGACTTTGCTTCTGGATAG